CCGTTGAGAACACTTTATAGGTTTTTCTGCTCTGTTTTAAGTCTTTTTTATAAAACACACACACACACACACACACACACTTCTTAGCAGAACGGATTCTGGTGCATTTCCCTTCCCTGCTTCCTCATAAAAACGGAGCTGCTCCTGCCAGAGGCGGAAGTGGGTAGGGCAGCGGAGCAGGTCACAGAGAACATGCTCCCAACATCTCCAGGCTTTTCATCACCTTCCCGCCTGGCCCAATCAGGACCTCATCCGGAAATAGTCCCCCTCTCCTCCCCACCCCTGAACACAATCACATCTCTTTGAACCAGTTAGTAATTATGGAAGCTGTCTTGAAAGAGCCCAGATGCTGTCATCCATTTATGCCTTATTGAAGGGGACCTCCCTAACAGGCAGCATCCAGGACTTTCTTTGTGCTGTCTCAGCATCCTCCTTGCTGATGGAAGCCTGAAAGCTCATTAGCATTTTAAGAGATTTTAATAACAGTTCTTAGTTAGACAATAGAAACGGGACAGGTTTCATCAGGAATGCCATATTTTAATCACTCCGGAGCTAATTCAGTCCTTGCTTCAGTGAGAGAGCGATTCTCTCTCCCCCAAGGCACAGGGAAGCGTACACTGTGCCCGGGAAACCGGAGAATTCCGCAGCCTGGCCTTGTCCCCCGTGTTCACGGCTCTTTGTCTGCTGGTCGCCCGGACACCGGGCAAGCGCTGCTGCACAGCTCACAATAGCTGCCCCACATGCCGGGGCTCCGTCCAGAGATCCTGGGCAATCCCCAGCTCGCTTGGGCCCTGGATCACCGAGCCTCATTGCTGGGAGGTCAAGTGAGCTTAATCACCGCCGCGTGTGACGGGCTTGCACCTGCGCAGACGGCGCCCTCCCGGCTCCCCGGGCCACCGGAACCGGAACCGGAGGAACCGCAGCCTGGGAGGCAGGGGTTTTCCGGAAGGGTTTTCCATGCACACACCAGCCTCTTCCTGAGAGCGGCCACCTCTGGGCAGCCAAGGGCAGGGCCCTTCCCCTTGGCGGCCTCTGCAGGCCCAGCACAGGTGGTTGCCGAGGGAGGAGAGGAAAACCGCCCTTGTCTAGTCCTGTTCCGCCCCGTCAGCTGTGCTGGAATGAAAGGCTTCCCCTTAGCTTTTCAGGTTTTCGTTTTCTGCACAAAAGCTTTATTTGCAGCTAAAGGAACAGATTTTGGATAAGTAATTTTATGTCACTCCTGTTAACTCTATTTTTGTAAATGCTTTTAAAAAATATTTCCATTTGAGAATTGTTGTTGTTAATCTTCACCTAAGGATATGTTTCCATTGATTGATTTTTAGATAGAGTTGGGGGGGGGGGAGAGAAACATCAATGTGAGAGAGACACATTGATTGGTTGCCTTCTGCATGGCCCTGACCAGGGCCAGGAATCGAACCTACAACCTAGGTATGTGCCCTTGACTGGGAATCGAACCCATGACCCTTTGGTCCTCAGGACGATGTTCTAACTGCTGAGCCAAACAGGTCAGGGCCCATTTGAGAATTTTGAAAAAAGTTCTTTTTGCCATTATTGGCTAAAACAGCTGCATTTCCTGGTGATTTCATGGAACCTTTGTCAGGTACACTTGAAAGTTGGCTTCCACTTGACTCTACGCCCCTGCTCTCTCTGTGAGGCCACCCCCTGCCCCCGAGGCTCAAGACTGCAGCCTGGTTGCCACCCTCTTTTAGTCACCAGAGAACCAGCTTCTGCCGCCCGCCCGGTCTCCTGGGCTCTTTCTCTGCTCTTTGCTGCCTCCGAATCCCAACACAAACCAGGTTTGTCGCTGCTGGGCTGTGCAGGGAACCAGGACAGGTGGGAGTGGGGTCCAATCAGAGTGAACATGGGGGAAGTCACAGTGGGGTGCAGAAACTCAAACACTCTGAGGGGTCAGCCACCCATGTGAAAATGTACAAGGAGGTAAAAATGCTGCGTTCTAGCCCCTTCAAGACTTTCTTCTTAGAGAGCCCTTGAGTCCAGAGAACCTCAGCTTGCAGAACCTCAGCAAGCTGAAGAGAGGCACTTATTAGAGAAGTTACCTGCTTCTGGGAGAAGTCAGCAAGCAGGCCTGAGGCAAAGGCAGGTGGGTCTCAGGACCACCGCATGGGGTGTGGCACCTGCACACTTCCCTTCTGCTCTGAGGGTTGGGAGGGAGGTGGTTCCTGCCCAGCACCCAGGCCTGACCAGCCAGCTGGCCTGAGGGGGTGGGGCTGCCCCTTCCGGGTGGTGAGATTTAGGCATGCAGGTGAGCTGGTCCATGTTCACTGTTGTTCTTGGGCACAGATGTCCACCTCATTCACCACTGGAGTCCAGGCCAAGCCGCCATCAAAGGGGATCTTTCCATTTATCTTTTGAGATACAACTTTCAAAAGGATGGCATTTCTCTCATCTTTATTCCATTAACATTTTGGCTGATATGAATTTAATTGGATCTCTTTTTCTTTTGACGGGCAATTTTCAGGCTACGAAGGGTTGGATTGGAAGAGGAACAGACTTGGGATGAATTATTTAGAAAAAGGCCTCTTCAACCATTGCACATTCAACATTTAAAAACAGGTCACAATCACTCGTTTCAAAGTTGTATGTGGGATAGAGGCTCTGTGTTTTAAAGAAAGTTATTAGTAACTAACACTGGAGTGTTTCATGTCAGTGACTGTGCTAATTTTTTTATTTTTCAATATTTCCACTGATTTTTTTTTTTAGGGGGAGAGAAAGAGAAACATCAGTGTGAGTGAGACACATCAGTTGGTTGCCTCCTGCACAGAGTCGGGGCTGGCATCAAACCCGTAACAAGGTAACATGCCCTTGACTCGGAATCGAAACTCTGACTCTTTGGTCCATGAGCTGATGCTCTAACTGCTGGGCAAAACCAGTCAGAGCAACTGTACTGAATCTGACTATGAGCTAACTTTAATTCTTCAGTAAATCTTTGAGCTAGATATTGCTACTGTCCCTATATTTAGAGCAAACAATAAGAATTGGAAAGTTTAAGCAACTTTTCAAAAAAAGAGGAGATTATTTGAGTTAAGCTAAGTATAAACTGTATGGGAAAAAGGTAGTGGAAACAAATCAGACAGGTAGGTACAGGGACATCGCGACCTGAATGCTAGGCTGGAGATTTGGGGCTTATTCTATTGGATCGAAGACCCACTGAGGTTTTTGGATCCTAGGGCTGATACCAGAACTATCCTGTGGATGTTTCTCTGGCAATAATGCGTGAAATGGGTGAGACTAGGAGGCTTCGAGGAGCTGCCGGAGAGCGAGGGGGCGGGGACCAGGGGAGCTGCGTGGACGGAGTGGTTTCTTCCCTTCCCTTTATGTCCCGCTCTGGGCCTGGGTTTTAAACAGTCCAGCTTTTAAACATTCTAGCGTAGGCTCCTACTTACTTTCGAGCTGCCCACTGTTTCAGTGGCAAAAATAACAAACACAATAAAACAAATGAAAAGACTAAATTTTGAAAAACGTTTATGTCGACCAATTACCCTGTATTGTGAGGAAGCAAAGGGCTGGATTCGAAGGAGTCGGGTGTTTGGCCGAGGGCAGCATTTCCATCGGGGCGGGTGGCCAGAAGGGACCGCACGCACGCCCGCCCCACACGACTGCTGTCACGGTGCAGTGAAGAGGCCAGAAACCTGTGAGACGTGTGTCTGCCGCACAGGACGGGCGACCCGGCGCGTCTCAGCCTTCCTTTCCGTGGCCTCGGGCTCCTAACAGGACCTGCGGCTGCGGTCACTCGGGGTCCGAGAAAACAGCCCTGGTTGTCCGAGTCTCTCATTCTCGAGCCTCGTATTTTACTCCAGGACTTCTGGCTGATCCCGTGGAGGGATGTTTTATACGCACTGGGCTCTCCTGAGTTTTGCACCAAACTCAGCTCCTGTGAAGTCCTCCGCCTCGCCCAGAGGAGGGGAGACCCAGTGTCTCCCACGAGGGGCCCTGGGAAGGCCGGCCCCGCCCTGGACCCCTGTCCTTTCTGCTTTTGTGTAGCTAGTGTTAGTCCCGCGTGAATGAGACGCTGTGCTGCACGTGGGGGATGCAGAGGAAGACGAGGCCGCCCTGTGGGCCTGAAGCTGCCAGATGGACGGCACAGGTGGTGCAGTGGTGCAGAACGGCGAGGGGCTTCTCAGGACGCGCAGGTCCTTGCCCCAAGCTCCTGAAAGGAGTAATCGAGAGGGTGGGGGTGGGGGAGGGGAGAGAGAGAATGAATTAAAGATCCATGAGAAAAGTTTGAGTTCAGAAGCTTAAGAGCCCTTGGGGGTTAAGAAAAAGTTCTGTAAGCCTCCAGGATAATAAACTTAATATGAATAATACTCGTAATGTGAGTTTCTCAGTTTACCTAAGAACTAGAGATATTCCTGCGTTAGAATGGGAATTTTGTTAAGTTGGCACCTACCTTTTAGTTTTAGCCTTTATTTCCCTCTGGTTCCTAGTAATGAAAATCCTTACAGTGCTCAAGAGGGATTTCCAGCCACCTTAGGGGTCATCAAGATGAGGGGCGAGCCAGGGCTGCTGGCTGGATCCTGAACTCACAGGAGACGGTCGGGGCCACGGGGCCCGGCTTCTCAGGAGGGCTTGCCCCTGGCAGGGACTCCCTAGGGTCAGCCACAGGGCTGGCCGTGAGATCCGGGGATTCATTGCTGGCTTGGAATAATCTCTAGTTCTAAGCCTTATTTTGCCGCTCATAAGTACCCGTCAAGCTTTCATGCCATATAAGTCTCCTTTACTTTGTTTCATTGAGGTAAAATACAGTATCAGAGAGTAGCGCACTATCCGTTTTCCTGATGTCTAGCCTAACAGAAAATACTGCCTGGAAGGAAAAGATGCATTCATGGGGTGTTGTAGGGGGAGGGGGGAGGGGGAAAGAGAGGCGGTCCTCCCTCTGTCTGCGCCATATTCCCAGTCTGTGAGTGCTCCTATGTCTGAGGTCAGCCAGCTAAAGATGTGTCCAGCTTTCCTGATAAATGATGGCCACTCTCCTCTTTCAGCAGATTTCTGCACATGGCAGATCTTCTTCCAACATAAACGGTGGACCCGAACTTGAGCGTTGCCTGAGCCCCGAAGGTAGTTCTCAGTCTGCTGGTTCCTCTGTGAAGGAGAGCATCCCTGCGAACTGGGTGGCCGCCCCAAACGCACTGGTGCTACATTGTCTTCCTGAACAGGGATGTGATCATGTCACCAGTTTGGCCTTAGTGCGTTGTTAACTAAGCTGTTCCAATTTCAGAGTTTAGACGTGGGCCCCCCTTATTTCTACTTAGTGACAGTGTGCTCACAATTCCTAAGTGTAGACTTTCCTTTCTCTCAATCAGTTAACAAAAGAGTTTCTTTTTTATTGTTGGTTTGTTTCTTTTTTTTTAATTAATTAATTTATTTTTGTTACAGATGTTTCTCCTTTTTCCCCCCACTGATTCCCCCCTCCCACTCCCTCCCCGCCCTGTCCCCAGCTTTGTTGTCCATGTCCATTGTTCATGCATACATGCATATAAGTTCTGTGGTTCATCTCTCCCCCACGACCCCCTAAAATAGTTTCTTTATATGGTGTCTGCAGTGTACTAGGTACTGGGGGTACATTGTGAAAAGTAGTTGATATTAACCATTTGCTCCTCCTGTCCCCCATCCCCTACTGCTACCACCTTTTTGAGAAGGCTTTGAGCCAGAATTAGTGTGTGTGTGCGCATGTGCGTGTGTGTATTTTCATTGAATTTATTGGAGTGACATTGGTTCACAAAACCATACAGCTTTCAAATATACAACTCAAAACATCATGTACACACTGCATCATGCACTCATTTGCTTGGGGAAATTTGTTATGTTTATTGATTATGTTGGTTTCTGATTTTACCCAGTCAAGTCAAAAGAAAATCAGTGATTCATGTGTTCTGTTTAGACAATGTGCTCAGAGACTTTCCTTAGTTTTTGCATAGATTTGGAAATAAATGCATTGCAATTTATTATTTGACAAGTACGTAGGAGTTTCCCCAAGCAAAGTCTCTTCTGTCCCCATTTTTCACCCCTTTGCCCACCTCCCCCTGCCCCTACCCCCTTTCCCTCTGGCTATCACCACACACTGTGGGCTGTGTCTGTATGTTAGTTGTGTATGTTTTTTGGCCAATCCCTTCACCTTCTTTCATCCAGTCCCCCTCCCTCCCCTGACAGCTGACAGTGGCCAGTCTGTTCCATGTACCCATGCTTCTGTTTCTATTTTGTTTGTCAGTTTACTTTGTTCATTAGATTCCACGTATAAGTGAGATCATGTAGTATTTGTCTTTCTCTGAGCCAAGAAGTAGCTTTAATAAGGCATCCTAGCTGGCTAGAATTTTCTTTACTAGAAAATCTTGAGGAGACATCTTGAGAAAATTTCTAGGATTAAATCCCAACATCGTCCCTTTCTCAACTTTGACAAAATAACTTCTTTTTTACCCAAAGCTAATCACTTATTTTAGCTGCTGTTTCAGGGATTTGTTATGTTTATTGATTATGACTGATTTTACCCAGTCAAGTTAAAAGAAAATTGGTGATTCAGGTGTTCTGTTCAGACAATGTGCTCAGAGACTTTCCTTGGTTTTCGCATAGATTTAGAAATAAATGCATTGCAATTTATTATTTGACAAGTACGTAGGAATCAAGATGAAATGCTGATGTGTTCTTTTGACTTTGCATTTATCCTTTTTGGTAGGTGTGAATGGAAATAGGTGCTCTGAGTCATCGACTCTGCTTGAGAAATACAAAATTGGAAAGGTTATTGGTGATGGCAATTTTGCGGTCGTCAAAGAGTGCATGGACAGGTGAGTGGGTGGTGAGGTGATCATTTTCCACTTGCACATACATTTCTCCTTGCAGTTTGTTCTTCCCTGAATGGACAAAGGCTTCTAAAAGAGTCTGCCCTTGGGACCGGCTGTTTTGCATGCCCACAAGCAGTTTCACAGGGAAAAACACGTATTCAGAAAGACCATAAACCTGCTTTGTATTTGGACTAATATATCAGGTCTCATCCATGAGCCAGAGAAAAATGGGAAAGAATAAGACACACTTTTTAATCTCCTCTTGCCTTCACCTGTATCAGGCACTATTCTCAGAACAGTAACTCATTTAATCCCCACAGAAACCCTCTCAGTTAATACTTATTGCATACACCGGTGGTTCAGGAGACACGCGCTCTGACTCCATTTAAGAACAGTTGCTTAGACTTCTGCCTATATTAGAGTTATATTTTTGTTTGTCCAGCTTTATTTTAAGGTCCTAAATCCTCAAATGGTAAGAAATCCCTTCTTTTAAATTCCAGGCCTTTTGTAAACATTATTAAAACTGGGAATGACTCCGATTAGAGTGTTTGTGTTTATATGCTGTTTCCCTACCTGTTCCAAATGGTAACTTTTACTGTTCCTGGGGAATTTTCCAGAAAGCTCTGGTAACTGCAGTTTTCTGTTCTGCTGCATCTCCAGTGAGGCTTTAGTGCTTCTTAGATCGGCGCACCCAGTAGCTCCCATCCTCCAAGCCTTTCACTTAGCTCTGGTACACAGATTGCCACCCAAATAACGAATTAAGCATTGAAAACATGCCTTCTAAAGACTCCTTAGAAATCGGAGGCAGGGTTTGGTTCATGTGATGGGGAAGCACTTGCAGTAAAAGTTGTTTTTCCAAGGTGGTCGCACCAATGTCTGCTATGACCACCTAGCAAAAGCAGCGGCCCTCAGAGAACTCGGATTCCAAGAATCCTGCCGTGGTCTTTGCCGGACCATTTTCCTATCTGCAAGGATGTTTTTTGGCACGTGCAGATTAAAATATGCTAAAGGTGATTAAATATTCAATAATGGCATCAGGAGTCTTGTGCCTGAGTAAATGATCTCTCTGGTACCAGAAGCGGGCATTTAAAGGTGCGGATAAGATGGCACCAGAAGGAGTTTGGGCCGAGAGAGAAGATATTGGAAGTCTAGGGACTTTTCAGTTTTGAATTGTGGACTAATTAGTAACTAATGATTAATGCGAAGACATATTGATAATGGGAAATTTTCCATTGCTGTGATTCATTTTTCCTAATTTTATGCTGCCACCTACGAGAACTAGCTTGAGATTTAATTATGGGAAAAACAGTTTTTGTCCATGTCTGATACAACAGTGTTTAAGTGATTTTAATATGTAAGTTAGTTAAGAATGATGTAATTACTAATATTTATAAAAGGAGATTGACAGGGTGGCCTTGGATTTTTTTCCCCCTTTTGGGTACCCTTCTCCCGGACCCCACTGAGCGTTTTCTCCGATGCGCACAGGAGGGAGTGGTCTGTCTTCCTGAGTCTGTGCTGTGGAGGACACCAGGGGCGATGATGGTGTCTTCGATGTATGTCTTTAAATGGCCTTCCTCTGATTGTTCCACAGGTCCACTGGAAAGGAGTTTGCCCTGAAGATTATAGACAAAGCCAAATGTTGTGGAAAGGTACAGTCTATATAACTGCTTTGTAAAAGAAACAGAAAAGCCTTGGTAAGATGTGTATTGTGCCGAAGGCATTTCAGTGGAGATGTGACAAGACCATAGCAGGACTAATCCTCTGATCATAGTGGGGGAAATACTATGAAGCTTCCCCCTCCCCTGCCGTTTTTCAGAGATCTTCATCCTAAAACAGTAAATTGATTTGATCTTGGTCCTCACTATTAAAAAGTGTTAAGTTCTCTTCCCTAGGAGATGTATATTTCAAAATAAAACCCAGCAACACACAACAGGTGTGTCAAGAACTGTGAGGAGTCTGAGACTTGACCCTACTTTCAAATTTAGAAGTTAGCCTTCCTGCTTTATAGATGCTGGCAGAAGACACAAGCTCCCCAGGTCAGAGGCAAAAAGAAAATAGTATTGCTCATGGCACAGGCAGCCTGAGCTCCACATCGGCACTGGTTCCCCGCAGCCCCCTGGTCCCACAGGGGGCGATGCAGAGAGGCCCAGCCGGATGCCCTGCACACAGTGGGTTTGTGTCGCAGCAGAGGATCCCCAAGCTCAGGAAAACCCCAATCTTATGAGAGCAGCTAGCACCCCTGACCAGCCTTTGCCCCAGAGGAGAACATTGTGTTTATTATCATGGTCAGAAGACAAATCTGCCCTCTGCCCCTGTGGGAGACCCTATCTCTATCTTCCAAGGGTGTTTGTTCTACAAATATCCTTGGAAAGATAGTTTGTAACAAAATCGGTGCAGAAACATGGTGAAGATGTGTCTCCCCAACCAGATGAACCTTTTTTTCTTCTGTCCCACTCTAGCTGGGGCTAGGAATGCTGCTGGAGAACTGGTATGTTAACCGTGTTGGAAAAGATTTTTATTTTATAAGTGACAACAAAGACCTTTCTAGAGTCCATTCCGGTAGCCTGGCAGTTAGGACAGTGGGCTGTAGCGCTCACTCTGCACCTGGCTGCTAGCCACATGTGGCTGCTGGGCTCTTCAGAGGGGCTGGTCTGAATGGAAACATACTCTGAGTATTAAATGCACAGCAGGTTTGAAGACTTAGTCCTAAAAAAAGAATGTAAGATACCTATTAATATATTTTATATTTTATTACATGTTAAAATGATATTTTTGATATATTGGGTTAAATCATAAGTAATATTTATTTTACCTGTTTTGTATATTTATTCACATGGCTATTAGAAAATTTAGATTTACATATGTGGATCATAATTATAATTCTGTTGAACAATGCGTAAAGTTTATGTTGTGCGTAAAGTTTATATTGTACGTAAAGTTTAATCCTTGCTCTGCAATTTTTTACTGTGTGACCTTGGAGAAATTACTTAGCACCTCTGTTTCTCTCTTTAAAATATAGTTATTAATAGTACTTAAGACAAGATTATTGTGAGAACTAATGGAATTAAGGTGTGGGAAGTATGTACACAATACCAGTATATAATAACATGTTGACTGTTAACATTATTACTATGCCTGAGGAATTGAGAATTTATAATTAGGAAGATGTTTCTGTGATAGTAGTGATTATATATTTATGGAACTCCTAAACTGGTCTTTATTAGACATTTACAAATTTGTGTATTTTTAACAGAAAACTTAATATATTATGGGGAAGTTTTAGAAAAATCTCAGAACCCAGAATGGAAAATCCAAGAGGCGTATTTGTCATATGTAGTTTTTTCTCTCTACTTTGGACAGCTGATGAAGCAGAGACTGTGCATGCCCCTCTTTTCTTTAGAATTTTCTAAACTTTCTTTAATTCTGTGTGCCTTTTACTTATTGTTCTAACAATAATGTTAAAATTACCCGCTGCAGGTCTTTTCCCAGGTGTAAGTAGGTGTTGCTCTTTTTATCTGGTGTTGTGGGACCTAAGGAGAATCTGTCGACTTTTCGGAAGCCAAGTTCTAAGCAACTGTTGTATTTTTCCAAAAAAGTCAAAAAAATAATTATTGCTGTGGTAGGGATATTGTTTACCTGATTAAAATTTAAGCAGCTGTTTGACTAGTTGAAAAAACAATCTTTCTATGCAAAAAATTCAGTCTCTAGTGCACAAAGTGCTGAGGCAGCAGCGTAGGTCACTCCAACACTGGTCTTGTTTTCCCTCGTTACTGACGACATTCTCTTTTTATACTTCACGACCGTGTACTTATTTCTCTCCTCATACTTTTTTCTGAACAACTTTTCCACATCAACTATATAAAATTATAAATTCAAAACTTGATCTATTCCAAATAAGTTGATTTTCCGATTAGATTTTATTTTTAGAAAAAAAAATGTAAGGAATTCAACCACTGGGTACTTTTGGTCACACTGGCTTTGTGGATTGTATGTGGAAAATTAATAATGCTGGAAATAATATCTGCCCTTTATTAAAACGTATAATCTATCCAGGCTTGGGCATATGGAACTTTGCACAATACTTTTAATGACTTGTAAAGCAGATGAACCAGTTCTACAGATAAAAAATAGAGGTTCAGGTTCGATAGCTCCCCAGTCACACAGAGGCAGAGCAGCGAGAGGAACTGTGAGCCAGTTGGTTGCTCAGCCCGAACCTTGGCCAATCTGTCATGCTCCCTCTCCAAGTTATATTCATGCACGTGTTCATGTAACAAGAACCTGGGGAGGAATTCTTAACCTCTCTGCTCTTCTGTTTGCTCTTCTGTAATTTACATGAGCATTATTAGGTAAATTTGCTCATTTACCTAATATTTAACACATGTGCAAGATACTGTGCTAGGAATAGGGCATTTTAGCATATAGATTAATAGCAGTTCTTCAAAAAATGTTATGGGAGTTTGGGGGAAGCATGTGAGAGAGAAGGAGATGATCAGTGATGACGCCATAGAAGCGTTTGGCCTGGCCCAGCCGGTGTGGCTCAGTGGTTGAGCTTCGACCCATGCACCAAAAGGTTGCTAGTTCAATTCCTGGTCAGGGCACATACTCAGCTTATGGGCCAGATTCCCAGGGGGGCATGCAGCAGGTGGCCAATTGATGTTCTCTGTCATCGATGTTTCTATCTCTTTCTCCCTCTTCCTACCTCTCTCTCTAAAATCAATAAATAAAAAATTTAAAAAAAAGAAAAAGCTTTTGTGCTGGACTTCCGGTAGTGGGCAGGACTTCCGGCTCTGGCAGGATTTCAACAGGAAGTCATGGAAGGACCGCCTGCCAGGCTGCTGCAGCCTGAGCAAAGGCCTTGAGCAAGGAAAGCATGTCCCATTCTTCTTACTAGGAGATTATTGCAAGATCTGCCGTGGGGCCAGATTTATGGAGGCTGTTGGGAAGGCTATGGTGTTTGTAAATTTGAGAATTCTTCCATGTCTAATAGTCTAGATAACATTAATTCTAAATGAATATTTATTGAATTCCCACAGTGTCTGAAGCTCTGAGCCTTCTGTTAGGTGCTTAGAAGTGGTCCTTCCTTCTCTTCCCACCGCTTTGCATTCATTATCCACGCGTCAGGAGCCCAGACAGGACATAAATCCAAATGAAGGTCGTGGTCGTTTCCTAAGGATGTTGGAATAAATTATCCCAAACTTGGTGGCTTACCACAACAGAAATTTACTCTCACAGTTCTGGAGGCTGGAAGTCTGAGGTCCACACCCCTTGGTGACCCTGGGGAGAATCTCTTCCTCGCCTCTGGCTAAGTATGTTCTGGTGGCTGATGGTGTTCCTTGGCTTCTGGCCACATCCCTTCAACCTCCCCCTCCGTCTTCACATCCCTTCTCTCCTGCGTGTTTATTTTTTCTCTTCTGTGTGGGAAATCTCCCTCTGCCTCGTATCTCCTAAGGACATAAGGAGATAAGCACCCAGCTGACCCGGAGTTATCTCTTGCAGAATCGCATCTGTGAAAACTTTTTCCCAAATAAGGCAACATTTACAAGTTCCAAGGACTTGATATCTTTGGGTGACCATTATTCAATGGTCTACATATCTCTACCACAGAAATCACAGATGACGATTAAACATTTTCTCTCTGATTGTATTATCCTCAGCAATGCTTAGTAGGCACAGTGCTACCGGCTGTTGTATTACCCTCGGCAGTGCTCGGTAGGCGCAGGGATGCCAGTTGTAAAGTCAGTGCTGGTCAAGAGCAATGCATGATGTGTTGACTCACTCAAGCACTTGGGGGCTCACTAGGCCCTTTACTGGAGAGCAAGATAAATAAAAATCTCCAGGTCAGCCCAGTGAGAGTTGTGGTGGGAGCTGGCACAGAGGGCAATGAGAGCTAATAAGCAGCATACCTACCCCAGCCATGGTTGAGCAGGGAGGCTGTTTAGAGGAGGTGGGAGCTCATCTGGTCCTGAGGAGTGAACAGGAATTCACCAAGAAGTGGGGAAAGAAAGTTCCTGGCTGAGAAACTACCGTGCAAAGGCCTAGAGGTCTAGGTGAGAGACTGCAATAGGGACAGAAGGGAGGGGCGGGCTCAGAGGCCATTGGGAAGGTAGGACTGGTGGCAGCGGGGGCAGGGCTGTACTGGAGGGGGCGGGGCTGGGGGATTCGGTCCGCTTTGGGCAGCCAAGTTCACGCAGTGAGTCAGGACCCAGGAGGCAGGGACTGTTTTATGGGGCTGGGAAGTGTGGAGACAGGATGATTAGTTTGGTTTGGGAGAGTTGTTTATTCCCTAATCTCTCTCCCTCCCTACTTCCCTCCTCCTCCTCCTCCTTTTGTCTCTCTATCTATCTCTATCTCTGTCTTTTTTGTACCTTAAAAACCACCAGGGCCAAAGATAAGGGGTATCCTTTGCCAAGTTAGCAGTTTTCTTTGTCATTGCCGCTCACACAGATCCATGGAACAGGGCCAAGAAATGATTCATATGTAAATTATTCGGAGTCAGAACCATGAATCACTTAACATAAATAATGGTAGATGATGGGACAATGCTAAGTTCAGTGCAGTTCAAGACAAAAGTGGTGTTCATGTGGTATGTGGAAATCTTTTCCTGGAAAATGTAATCTAGAGAGTATTTTTCCTATTAGAAGGAAAGATTAAGAAATGGGAAGGTAACATTTGTAAAGATCTTCATGCATTGCTTTTGTGTTGTTTCTGTTGGTGATTAGTTTAAAAAGTGGATTGTTCCTTCACGAGCCAGCCAGAGGCTGGGGACAAAGGCTGACGGCACCCACACCCCAACAACATTTGCGATGTGCTTAGAATACCAGCTGTGGTCAAGTAGGACACAGAGAGCCGAGATCATCAATAATGTAGAGAAAATCCGCAGCACTGTTGGAAATGCAACACTGCTGGTGGTCCCGGGGAGTGTTCTCCAACATCCTAGAAGACTTGCTGTTGTGCCTTATATTGGAAAATATACCTTTGGGGAGGGATGGTCTCCTTAGGTGGTAGACATCTTATTTTAACTCCAATTTGAGAGAGTTCTTGGGTCCTGGTGTCGGGGATTATTTTACACAGTCACTCTAAATTAGCATCACAAACAGAGGTAAATTTACAGTCTCTTCCAACTTTGGTGGAAATGGGGAAAAGGGAGAACCAAAGTGATACATCCTTTTAGTGTGTGTGTGTGTGTGTGTGTGTGTGTGTGTGTGTGTGTTTTAAGCCTCTTTGACTGCAGCTGTAGTGACTAGTGTCCTCTCGGCTTCACAGAGAGTGAAATAAATGTATTTGCTCGCCTTTACTTGTTCACAAAAGTACAGCTCACTCTGCTGTTCAGTGCTGGGCACAGAGGATGCAGAGGCATCCAAATAAGCACCCAAAGGTGGAGTGTTTGCGGAGTCTTTGTCTCTGTGACCGCGGGGCTTGGCTGCTAGGCTGAGTCCCTGGGGAGGGGCCAGGGGCTGTCTGCTGCCTACATGCTGCCGCTCTGTAATTCACACATGGGGATTGGAGACAGGTAGGTGGCCCTGTCCCTGGCCTCCCAGGCGTGGTGTGTTAGGGTCCGTTTTTCCAAGAGATTTGGAAGCATTTGCTGAGTCCAAAGCTGGACAAAGACTTCCCTGCCCTGCTCATGAAGGGGCGTAGGTTTTCCTTCCTGCTGAGAGCCTGGTGTGGATCTGCCTTGCCACCCAACCCAGTGTGATACAACCTCTAGTTCCTGTCTCTTCGAGGAATTATGTACAGCTTTGCACCTACCATTTCCATTGTGAAAAAGTCCAAGGTGAAAAATTCCAGTGTGACTTTTACCATAGCGATTGCCTCTGAAAGGTGACGTTGTGTAGCACAGAAAATGTGGACTTGGGTGACAGACAGAAACCTTGGGTCTGCGTTCTGCCTCAAAGGTCTGCTGTAAGGATCAAGTGTTAAGACGTTGCACAGTACCCCACACAGCGACAGACAAATGGTGACTAGATTCCCAGTCAAGTTTGGTTCTTTCTGTAGCCCGCTCTGATCAGCATTTGCCTGCGCATGTGGCAGCATGTTTGAGTGACTGCTTGGACAAGCACAGTGCACCCAACACAGGACACAGCCCCCCACCCACCCACCCCGGGCAGGAGCTTGCAACAGATTCTCTCTGCATGTTACTTATTGTCATCGTTTATGCTTCCAACTATTGTCAAAAAGCATTTGAGGCCCTGGCTGGTTTGGCTCAGCAGTTGGAGCGTCGGCCCGTGGACCAGAGCCCCGGGTTTGGTTTCCACTAAGGACACATACCTCGGTTGCGATTTATCCCCGGCCCTGGTTGGGGTCCTGTGGGTGGCAGCCACTCCATGTGTCTCTTCTCTCTTCCTCCTTCCCTCCCTCCCACTCTGTCTGATGATAAATGCAAAGATGTCCTCGGGTGACGATTTAAAAGAAAGGAAAAAAAAGCATTTGAGATGGCCCAGCCGGTGTGGCTCAGTGGTTTGAGTGTGTTCCATGGACTGAGAGGTCCCAGTTCGATTCCTGGTCAGGGCACATGCCTGGGTTTCCGGCTCGATCCCCAATAGGAGGCATGCAGGAGGCAGCCGATCGATATTTCTCTTTCACATCTAAAACAATCAATAAAAATATATTAAAAAAATAAAAATCTTTATAAAAAATCATTTGAGATGACTTGGACTCTAAGCAGTTCTTAACCTGTGGGTCGCGACCCCTTTGGGGGTCAAACGACCTTTTCATAAGGGTCGCCTAAGACATAACAGTGGCAAAATTACAGTTATGAAGTAGCAACAAAAATAATTTCATGGTTGGGGGTCGCCACACATGAACTGTATTAAAGCGTTGCGGCATTGGGAAGGTTGAGAACCACTGGCTTGGAGTAAAAATACCTAGACACATGGATGGGTGAAGATAGGAGAGGAACCATAACTAGTATCCTGAACTGGAGATAAGATAATTATGTTCCCACTGCAGTGGAACGCAAATTTAGCTCTGAAATTCACGATAGCAAAGCAAAAGGAAACGTACAAGGGACGCTCCCCCCCACACATATGGATCTATACACGTGTGTATTTAGGTAGCAAATGCCATCTCTAGAATGTGTCAGAGGGCAATTAGTTAATTTTACAGACTGTACCCTAAATGCAAAATAATTTGTTATTATAGTCAACAAGGATCAACAAACGTGACAGTGTTGAAAGGTCTCCCGATGACAAAGCACAGCGGTCGCAGTCTGTGGTTGGGGCGTGGAGAACAGCCCCTCGACGCTGCGGGTAGATCTGTGCTACGGTGCTGGTCCCGGCTGCCCAGCCACCAGACTGACACTCGGGCGGTGTTTTCAGGGAAGTGAGTCACGTTAACATGAGAATCGGGGTCCCCACGGTCCTGTGTGTTTTCTGATTTCTGAACTACAGGATGGTAAGGCGCGTCCTCTGGTGAATGGTTTCGTTGCAAGTCGGAGAGGAAGAAAGCATTTTTTTCCCGTGAATTTCAATGTAGCTTTCAAATTCATAGGAGTAGTTTACAAACAACAGAGTTTAATGCCCACGTCATGTGCCACAGCTGCCGAGGTTCCTGATATGCCTCGTCTTTGTTTCGGATGAAATGGAGCTGAAACGTGGTTCCAGTCGAGGCTCATGGTGCAGCGCCGCGTGGGCCCTTCCGTGGCATCGCAGCGCCGCGTGGGCCCTTCCGTGGCATCACAGCCTCAGCAGGTGTGGGGCCGCGAAGAGACGAGGCTTTCCGTGCCAGGGCCATGCCACCAGAATGCTGAGGGGTGTTTGAAGGATGCCTGTTTCCTTTTGTTAGTGGCAATGAGATGTCACCCGGGCTCCTCTTGTCCCCATGGGAACCCGAGAGGCCAGGGTGTGGTCTGTCTCTGCACCAGGGAGCTGCTTCCTTCGGCATCAGATCTGCGGGCTGTGACGTTCTCCGGAACACAGCGACGGGGCAGGGGGTCGATGTCTGACGCAACTCTCTAACCCTTGTCTTACAGGAACACCTGATTGAGAATGAGGTGTCCATACTGCGCCAGGTGAAACATCCAAACATCATCATGCTGGTGGAGGAGATGGAAACAGCTACTGAGCTCTTCCTGGTGATGGAATTGGTCAAAGTAAGAGGGGGAGAGATCTCAAGACATTATATTGGTGCTAGACCCCAAAACTTAACCACATTGTTGAAGGAGCTAATCGGAAACGTGTTTTGCTACCTTGAAACTTTATTCATAATCATCCATTTTAGCGGCATTTTCAAAAAATTGACTCCAGGCCAATGAACCCTCGCTGTTACTTCCGTGGGATTGCCACTGTTGATACTGTGCTATGTTCTTTCGTGTCCTCTAGGGTGGAGACCTCTTTGATGCAATTACCTCCTCAACCAAGTACACTGAGCGAGACGGCAGTGCCATGGTGTACAACCTGGCCAGTGCCCTCAGGTATCTGCACGGCCTCAGCATTGTGCACAGAGACATCAAGCCAGAGAACCTCCTGGTACGTCATCTCTGCTTCTCTGTTCCATCTCATGCCGCTCCTCCTTTAACATGACCAGAATCAGGCCTGGTTGTTTTGGCTCAGCAGTTAGAGCATCAGCCTTCAGACCAAAGGGTCTTGAGTTTGATTCCTGGTCAAGGTCACGTACGTGGGTTGCAGGTTTGATCCCTGGCCCCAGTAGGGGTTGTGTGAGAGGCAACCAATCGATGTGTGTCTCTCACATCCATGTTTCTCTCTCTCTCTCCCTCCCTCCTTCCCTCCCTTCAACTTTATCTTAAAAAAAAAAATTAATGGAAAATATATCTTCAGGTGAAAATGAAAAAGTAAATAAAATAAAATGATCATAATCACATGCAAACAATGACATTTTAAAGATTACATCAGTCCTGCAGGAAGGGACTGAGTTTAAATTTTAAAAGTCAATCTGATGCAAGTCAGTGGCCACAAAATATTAATGAGTTTCTTCAGTACATCTGTATTTCTGCATGTATTGTTCACCAGACTTTAGAAAATGTGTTTTCACTTGTGTTTTGATGATGGTACTGACGGAAGAAAGGTGAGCAGGAATATTATTTTGAGGCAAAATAGTCTGAAGAATAAATTGGAGACAGAATGAGAACGCGAGGGTTCATTTATGTGCCGGACAGAACTTTGAGCATCTAATCCATTCACCTCGGCTTTACAGACACGGGAATTGAGACCAAGAGATGCCGTTTCTTTTCTTGCTTAAAAGTCCCATTTGCCCCATTGTTCTACAGAAGAAAGGCTTGTACTGTGGCCTTCAAAGTGCTTCATAATCTGGCCCCAGTTTACCCTTCCAGCCTCCTCTTTGTTACCAACCCTTCCCCATGCATCCGGCCGGGTGGCAGTCACCTTCAGGTCACCTTCCTGGTGGCCTTAATAACTAAACGAAGCTTGCTAAGTGGCCCATCCTTGTGTCTGCATTGTAGAGGCTTTGCAGAGAGGCTGAGCGGGGAGTTAGCTGTGCACCTACCCCCGGACACACCCAGGACAGTTGGATTATCTAGTTCTGCCTTCAGGCCTGAGCGGTCATCATCATGACTGCTTGGGAGGTGAGGGTACCTGCGTCTTCTATACCATGTTCATCCCAACGCGGGTTCCCCCACTCGGTAGTTAGTTGAGACTTGACTTGATCCGCAGCATCATGCCTGGCCTGCTGTTGTCCATGCTGGTCTCTCTTTGCACTATCCTGTCTCCCACAATGTGACAAACACATTGTCTCGTGGGACAGTGAGCCCAAGGCCCGTCTTCTTGGACCTCACCCCCGGGCAGAGTTAGCTGTGGCCACCTCTGGTTTCTGCTGATCTTGTCATCGGCTCGTCTGTCTCCTGCTCTGGGCGGTGAGCACCGCTGGGCAAGTTGTGTGTCTCAGTTGTCTTAGTCTCCCCAGCGCCTTGAGCAGCGGAGGTGGAGGAGCTGTTTGGTGACTGACCACTGGGGTACTGGGCCCACTAGCTGCTGGCTGACTGACTAGCTGTTGGTGACTGACCACTGGGGTACTGGGCCCACTAGCTGCTGGCTGACTGACTAGCTGTTTGGTGACTGACCACTGGGGTACCGGGCCCACTGGTCTGTACGGCCCGCATCACGCTTGCGCTGCGCGAGCAATGTCGGGAGGAAATGCACTGATGACGGGCTCTGGGGCCATGCCGGGGCCTCCTGCCCCTTCGGAGCGCCTGTTTTCCCCGCTGGGTAATACCGTTTTATGGTTTCTGAGCGTCCATTTGAAAGTATGGGAGTTTCTTTTCTTACTGTTTTCTGCCTGGAGGGGACAGTGTTCTATTTCTGTATGTTCCTATTAGGAAAACAAATATCCCTGCTCTGTAAAGTCAGAGGCCACATGGATTCAGTCTCACGCACTTGCAGGAGGAATGGAGCCCGAGCTATGCCGGGGCCGCAGGATGGACGTGAGGGTGTGGTGTTCTCTTGGCGAACGGGCCTCTCGCCATGGTGACCTTGCCGTGACCCTCAGGCCCAGGCTCCCCCACCATCTGGCCCAGGGCCTTCACAAACACAGGACTGTGCCACGGATGCTGGGGTGGTAGCGAGGACACCCCTTGATCTCTCCAGCTGTGAGCCCCCCACCCCCATGCTGCAGTTATTGACGTTCTCTGTGGACAAAGGAGCCATAGGTCCCCGAGAACCATGGGCTCCTGTGGAACCAGCCCGAACCCCAGCTCCAGTTGTGAAGGCCCTGCAGGAAGCTCCCTGAGACACAGGTGACCTTCGCTGTGAAGCACCGTGTCCATGCCCCAGCCCACTGGGTCCACCGGCGCCTGTTCCGCTCTCAGGCGTTAAGGTGCCTACAGTCAGATCTGAACGCTTGCTGTGCACCCAGGGGAGCGGCTGTGAGGGGGCGGGGTCTCCAACTCCGCGTGTCCCAGCACGAAGCCCGGACACTGGGAGCGGGTTCCTGCTGGTACAGCCCAGCCGAGCCGTGTCCGCCCTTCCCACCTGTGCTGCCCGGGGGAGAAGGGAGGAGGACACACACTGATGTCTGGATGCAGCTGATGGCGAAGTAGAAAGAAGGGCTGTCGGGTCAGCCTCCGGACACCCTCGGCTGCCCTTACCTAAGTAGATGTCTGCCTTCGAAATCCCGGTGGACCCGGCAGACCCGGCAGATTGTAGATGAGTCGGCAGGTGGGCACGGGCGGAGGGTGAGGACGGGCGGAGGGTGAGGACGGGCGGAGGGTGGGGACGGGCGGAGGGTGAGGACGGGCGGTTGAGGCACTGCAAGGAGACCCGCAGGGACTGTCAGCCTCTCCTGCTCCAGAACCAGGTTCAGTTCTCAGAGACCGCACGTGCAGGCCTCTGTGTGCCTGCCGGCCTCTGGTGGCCGTGGGTAACTCAGACCTGCGGGGGCTGCGGGGGTCTCCGTGTCGGGGCGCAGCGTGGGCATTGCCGCAGTGAGTTACGGCCAGGCCGTGCCCGTCAACGTTAACTGTGGGGCCGGTGATAAATTCGCTGTCCCGGGTTCCGCCGGCGAGGACGGGGTCGGTCTCTGCGGTTCGGAGCCTTCCTAAATCATCGCGCTGACGTCTGTTCAGAGAACACGCGGCGTTCCCGGGTCTGTGGGATCTGCATTCCGCACATTCTTCATGTGTGCATTCGGAGCGGCTGACTTCTGTCCGAGCGGCTGAGCCTGCGGGGCCGCCCCTCCCCCGCTGGGCTGCCTGAGCCCACTCCGAACCCGAACCTGAACCTGAACAGTGCGGGCTGCCTGCCGTCGGGGCTCTGCCCACCGCGGCGTGTCGGAGCAGACTGTCGCGGGCCTGCCGGGGTGCGGGGTGCAGGCTGGAATGCACGCGGGCTGTCCACACGTCACTGGAGTCCTCTGTGCCTCTGCTTCCCCATCTGTGAAATGGGGCCGACGCTTCTCTTCCTAGTGGCCCAGTGGGTGGCTGATGAGTCCAGGGAGAATGCTGACATCTCCAAAGTCCTGCGAGAATGTCAGTTACTGGGGAGCCCTAACCCTCTGCCGGACCAGGGCCTGGAGCCTCGCTGTACTTACCTCCTTCTCAAGGTCACGCTCTTAAAGCAGCACCACGTGTGTGTGTCTGTGTCAGAATCAAAGTCACACGTGTGTGTGCATATATATGGAGTGATAGACAGATGTTTGTCCTGCTTTAAAGAGAACCTCCAGCTGAGATATGAAATGTGCTCAAATTGTCGTTCACACATTTGCCTCTGCGTCACTGCGGGGAGAAGAATTGGATAAAATGTTATTTCAGGCTGGTCTGCCCCTTATGACATTTCTCTTCTGATGTTTGGCCAAGAAGCGCCGCTTGCTCAGACATAACTCAGCGATTATAGACTGTTCGCTCCCTTTCTGTTTCTCTCCTGCATCTGACCGGATTCCTGGGAGGGACCTGAACACGGGGCCTCTGGGACCTCTGAGGGCCTGACAGCGGCCCCTAAGTACCCCCAGGCATCCCTAAATTGAACGTCTAAAATAAACGCTATTTTTCAAAACTGTACTTAATGAGTGCATTTTAAAGTTATAAAAACAAAATAACAGTGACATTAATAAAACATTTTTTCCTTAATTCTCATGATACATTTAGAATTATAATGCTGCTTACAGTGTTCTTATCACTGCAGTTACTCCGGGAATTTCTTTCTGAAGCCGGGGTCTCGGCGAATGCGTCATAAATTCTGGCTGTAATTCCCTCCACCGGCGTGTTCCGCTGGTGTTTACATTAGACATAACGGATGGAAAGGCAGCGGGACGGGAACCTGGTTTCTGTTGCTTTAGGCTAAGTCATTAGGAGCTTTGAATATGGTCCTGCTGCGTCGCGGGCTGGCCCAGGATGATGGATATCTGAGGGCCTCCACACCCCACGGCGCAGCCTGGGAGGGTGGAGGTCAGAGCGGTGTGCGGGGCGTGTGTGTTCGGTGCAGAAACTCGGAAGCAGTTATCAGACTGGGTGAGAGAGAGTCTTCTCAGACTCGTGGACACGACGCCCAGGCTGCGTTTAGTGTTGTCCTTCTGTAAATGCCAGTAGATTGGGGATCGTTGACACAGGGCGCCCCGAGGTCCCTGATGCTTTCCATCAGTGGCTGTATAAGTCACTCCCCTCTTTAGTGTCAGACTAATGAACGATGGTAACATGCTTATCTTGAGAAAACATAATTTTCTAAATTTTCCACCTCCTCTCATAAGTAGGTGGAAATCTGATTACTTCATAGTAAAATATGAGGAAAAGCAAACTCTCAAGTATAAACATAGAGAAAGACATTACATGAGTACCGGTTAGGTCTCTGCATTTGCTCTCTGAAATTCAGTGTTTTCAAAATGGAACGTCCGAGAGACGAGCAGACCAGCACGTCAGGTACCGTCAGACCTGTACGCAAGCGGTGCTTCCAGAACCCCCCGTTTAGAACGCCACTTCCAGATTCCGTAGAGAAGCGTTACCCATAAAACTTTCCCTGCCCTGGCCGGTTTGGCACGTGCCTCGGTTGTGGTTTGTCCCTGGCCCCAGCTGGGGTCGTGCGGGTGGCAACCACTCAATGTGTCTCTCTCACATTGACGTTTCTCTCTCTCTTCCTCCCGCTCTATCTAAAGATAAATGCAAAAATGTCCTCGAGTGAGGATAAAAAATAATAAAAAAAACTTTTCCTAATTATGGAACCAATACATGTCCATTGGAAACTACTGAAAAGTATGGGGAGAAAGTTAAAGCAATCCTCAGTGTTACCACTTAGAGATAAACTAAACATTGGTGAATTGCATCATATATGTGTGTGTGTGTGTGTAATTACATTATATATAATAACATAAATATATAATGTTGAATATACCTTTTTATTTTATGTAGTATGGTCAATGTCCATATGATTAATATTTTTTGAAATGTGCTTATTAGTGACTGTATAATATTTTATTACAGGAATATTCTATGACTTATGTTGCTTCCTGTTTTTAAAAACATAAATAAATTCTGAGATTGGTGTCTTTGTATATAACCTTTGAGTCCATCTCTACTCCTTTAGGCTTGGTTCTGAGAAGTAGATGTACTGTATCAAAGGTTATAAATGTACACACTGCTGAAATTCTGTCTAGAGAGGTTGCTTCGGTTTAAGAAAAATCATTGACATCTTCAACAACATGATTAGACCTTTTCCTCTGTGATAGTTATCTGCTCTAACCAGCCAGACCTTCCCGGAGAGGGAAGGAACATTCATGGAGCCTGATCCGAGCTTGGTTTCATTTTATCTTCACACCAACCCCGTATCATCCCATTTCACAGATGCAGAAACATGCTCAGAGAGGGTGAGTGACTTTTGAAGGTCACACAGCCAGAGAATGAGGGCAAATGGTTGGTTATTCAAGTTCAGGCTGTCTGATTCCAAAGTTCATTTTATGTCTAAACTTCCAATCCCACCCCCCACCCCCCCCCCGTGTAATATTTATATTGATCATTGACTCTCCAGAGAACAAGTCCTAATTTTATTTTCTAAACAAAACATGCAGGTCTCTTAGCGAATACCTAGCGCTTTAGTGGCACTTAATAAACACCATTTCTGAGACTCTCAAGCACCTCGCTCACAGAAAGCACGCAGTGCAGGTCAGTGTCCTGCTTCCAGGCTTAGAGCCTCTCGGGCCACGTCAGGCGAGCATCCTGGATGCTGCGTGAGCCTGCACGTGTGCCCGTGAAACTCCTAGGTAAGGCGCTTTTTTGCAGAGGTAGAAAATGTCTTTTTCAAATTCCACACAACCAGGCAAACATCTCTCAAGAGCAAGATAAGAGCTTTGCCCGGCCGGTGTGGCTCTGTGGTTGAGCATCGACCCGTGCATCAAGAGGTCGCTGGTTCAATTCCTAGTCAGGGCACATGCTCAGGTTGTGGGCCCGATCCCCTGTGGGGGCATGCAGGAGGCAGCCAATTGATATTCTCTCTCATCGATGTTTCTGTCTCTCTCTCCCATTCCTTCCTCTCTAAAAATAAAGGAAAAAAATTTGTTTAAAAGAGAAGATTAGAGCTTTAAAGCATCAAAGATAAATCATAGTGTTACTGTCACAAGGAGAGATTTTGAGTTTATTGGTCAATGTATCTGCGTCATTTCTACCTATTTCCAAGGGCCCTCTTGGAATCATTGAGGCATAAAAACAACTTCTGATTGTTGGCTGGTTTCTGTTTCAGGTGTGTGAATATCCCGATGGAACCAAGTCTTTGAAACTGGGAGACTTCGGTCTGGCCACGGTGGTGGAAGGCCCCCTGTACACAGTCTGTGGAACACCAACTTACGTGGCCCCGGAAATCATCGCTGAAACTGGGTGAGACTCCTGTGGTTTGGGTTAGTGCTTCATCTTCGGTGGGGAAAGGTCCATTTTGCTTGCACAGCTGTGTGTTCACGGGACTCCTGGGAAGGTGGAGGGAGAAACTGGTCACCTACCTGCACCATAACTTTAATCTCAGGAACTTAAGTTTGTGCTTCTGGGTTCAGGAGCCCTGGGCATGGACTTCTGTCCTGAGGCTGGTCTTGGGAACATGGCAGTCGTCCCCAAGGTTGTAGTAAGGATTGGAGAGACGCAGATGCCTTTGTCCAAGGGCAGTTCATTCCTCTCCCTGTAATGGACAGTTTGATGCCCAAAAGACCCTTTTTTCTCACAAAGACAAGTGCTGCGGTAATGATGAGGGTTCCGGGCTGGTATGGTCATCTCTCCTGCTTCCACCCACCTGTTTCCCCAGCTATGGCCTGAAGGTGGACATCTGGGCAGCAGGCGTGATCACGTACATCCTCCTCTGTGGATTCCCGCCGTTCCGAAGGTCAGTGGCTCTGTGTGAGTGTTGGAGCTGCAAGCTCTCCCATGGTCAGGAAGCGGGATTTTACCCCCGGCAGCCAGGACCAGAGCTGGTCTGTAAAGATGCCAGTCGAAAAGGCTGTCAACGCGCCTTTCACTGTTTACCTGCACCTACAGCCTACCCGTGTCTGCTCCCTGAGCTGGGTTCTGACGCGAGGCCTGGGCCTTTGCTCTGTGCACGGCCTCCGTGTTTCTCATGTCATTGTGCGCACCACACCCATCGTCCCGTGTCTACAACTTCCACTCTCGGTTATTTTCAAGGGGAGTGAGAGTTTGTTTTAATATATGTTTTTATTGATTTTAGAGAGAGAGAGGAAGGGAGCAGGAGAGAGAAATATGGATTGGCTGCCTCCTGCAGGGCCCCTACTGGGGACGGAGCCCACAACCCGGCACGCGCCCAGACTGAGAAGCGAACCGGCCGCCTCCTGGCGCGTGGGACGCCGCTCGCCACGGAGCCACGCCGCCCAGGGCAAGGGGAGTGAGGTAGCAGGGTCCTTGTGAAGCAGTCTGATCCTTCTGGGAATCACCTTTTTCCAGTGTTTAGTGGTTGTCTCTCCTACTTAATTTGGGAACAGCTTTCTGACCACTCATTTTCCAAAGCATTCAACTTAGTTCTCATAGAAACAGAGAACTTTAGAATTCATGTTGGCCATTCACATAACACTTAGTGGAGTAGAAGCATGGACACTTTCAGCATAAACAGAGCTGGGAACAAGCAGATGGAGTCTTCGCTAAACATGCCCCTTGTCTGAGGGCGCAGGGGCCGCACAAGGGGTCCGGCTGTGTCACGGAGGGCACAGGACACGCTCACCGCTCGGCAGCATGTGTGCGCAGGTTGGCAGGGGCTTCGCCAATGGCACCTTTTGATCAGTTCCGTCTCCTTCAGAGAACATGAATGGCATTGAACCTGGTGACGCAGGTTTGGCTTTCTTCTGAGTTTTCATTTTAATCTCCTTTGTTGTTCACTTTACAGCTATTTGTTGAGTAGCTCTTCTTAGTGCTGGGAAGCAAATGGTGAACACAACCTGTTCTTGGAGGTCATGGTATTTACAGTGTAGTGTTAGGTTAATAAGTGAAAAACAGGCTTATTTCACCACCACACCCAGCATCTTATTGTGAAAGATTTCAAACATTCAGCCAAGTTGAAAGTATTCTCTTTTTGAAATTATTGATGATCAGTGGAATTGAACATTTTTGCCGATACTACAGTAAACACAGGAGAGAGACAGGTATGTCAGTCTTTCCTTTTCAGAGTCTTACGGTGTAAAGACAACATCACGAGAATATGGATCAAAAAAACCATCCGGAGCCTGGGGGCATGCCCAGTTGCAAGCTGGGAGTCACAAACCTTTAATGAAGGTGTGGCACGAAATGCAAGCTTGTCCCGTGGCGTGGGTTGGGTTTCTGTAGGTAGAAAGCTCTCTGGCATCGATGTCATGGTCTGTCCAGGTCACTGTCTAGGTGGGTTACACAGGCTGTAGGATTACTGCACATGTCAGTTAACAGTTCCTGCAAAACGACTGCGAGAGTTTGGGCCGTCAGTCAGTTCTGTGGATCAGTTGGTCGGGTCTCTGATTTGGGCTGACTCAGTGGGGTTTGGTGGTCCAGTGTGGCCCGCTCACCTGCCTGGCAGCTGACCCAGGTCAGCCGGGACAACAGTCCCAACTTGGCCGTGTGTGTGCGCTCAGCCTCCAGTGGGCTACCCGAGTTTCACAGGACGTGAATTCAGGATTCCCCAAAAGCAGCTGGAGAAAGGGAGGGTTCCTCTACCTGAGCACTTTTCTTTTTTTTTTATCCTCACCCGAGGATATTTTTCCATTTTTTGTACAGATAGAGTGGGAGGGAGAGAGAGGAAGGAGAGAGAGAGAGAAACATCGACGTGAAGGGACACATCGAGTGGCTGCCACCTGCACGACCAACCAGGGCCGGGGACAAACTGCAACCGAGGTACGTGCCCTTAGCGGGAACCGAACCCGGGTCTCTCCGGACCGCAGGCCGACGCTCTAACCGCTGAGCCAAACTGGCCAGGGCCTGAGCACTTTTCAATGTCTGTTTGATCGATGTCCCGTTGAACAAATGAAGTCAGATAGCGAAGCCTAGAGTAAGTGTGGGAGAAGATTAAGGATGTGTACTTGGAGGGAGGGGAATACTTTGTGGCCAGTTTTTTTCAGTCGTGACATGCCCTGGCTGGCTTCAGTGGTGACCTGTTTTGAGAACTGGTCAAATGTAGAGAGTAGTGTATTTTAATAGCTGGTGATCTTGGGGCCCGTTACAGCGAAATTCCCCTCCATGATGGGTGACCCAAGTTGAGACCAGTTGGGAAAAGGTTATCCGGAGGGACCAGTTTTAGAGGAATGTGTGCTCACAACTCCCTCTAGTGTTTCCACTTGTCAGTGCAGCCTGGGAGTTTATCCTTTGACTGCTTTTTTTACTTTTGAACAAAAGTGAGACTCAGGTTAAACAAATGTGTATTTATTGTGACTTGATACCCAGTGGACAGCAGCTTCTTTGTGGGATCTGGAGTTAAGTTTGACTAATCCAAGGCAGTCAAGCTAATGCCCTTCTACATTATATTCAGAAGCTGCTCCTACAAAGGCAGGTAGCCTACTTCTGAAATTTACAAAAATGGTTTCCCTCTTTCGTAGGCCGTGATGAAGGGAATCTATGTTAAATGCTAGTTGCAGAAGCATCTTCACAGCACAGAGGCGTTCTGGAGAGATTCCAGAACCTACTATAATATACACTGCATATAGAGCACGTTATGCAAATGGTACTTTAAAATATGTTTCTTACTGATTTTCTAGAGAGAAAGGAGGGAGAGAGAGAGAGAAACATTGATGTGAAAGAGATACATGGATAGGCCGTCTCCTGCACACCCCCCAACTGGGGATCGAGCCCACAACCCGGGCATGTGCCCTGACCAGGAATCGAACTGGGACCTCTCAGTCCATGGGATGACGCTCAGTCCACTGAGCCACACAGCTGGGCTGGAAATGGTACTTTGAATAATGATAAAGGACCATGGTATAAAATAGATTAGTTACATGCATTTGTATCTAAAATTCTTTGAACAGGTATTTCAAAACATTTTCTTTGTTTTATACCCGCACTAACTTTAACCCAAAGCTTTTTCATTGAAATGATTACTTGGAATTTACAGTTTCGGAGTCTTTAACTCTGGTGTCTCTCACTTTTCTTTTTTTAAGTTTTGGTCTTAACCTGACATGAATTCTTCCTTCTCTCTTTTCAACCCCAGACACATTGTTGCTAAGAGGATGTTGGTTTTCTAGAGGAGCTGACAGTTTAGTTATTCCCTACGCAAGTCTGTGTGAGGACCTCTGACAAAGAGTGACATTTGCATGACTATACTGAGATTTTATTTTTCTCTTAAATGGGGCACCCCCCCCCCCATAAATGAGATGTTTGAATCTCATTTGCAGACTAGCTTACACACATTTTGAGCGTACCTTGACTCATGATTGAAAGGAGAGAATGGGCACAAACTCTTCTGTTGTTTTCGAGATTTTTCTTAATGCACTTTTTTAGATGTACAGCACCTTGTTCCAGGGGGTACCTTGTTTCAGGATAAAAAAGTGCCCTGAAGCATCTCAGCCAGGTTGTAGAGTATGAATGTGGTCATAAATCCAGCGTAGATGAAATCAGAGTGGCTTTTCTTGTGTGACTACTGAGAAGGATGAACAATCTTTAGCTTTCTGTTCTTTTAGGGAAGGAAGCCCGAAACACTTGCGGTTCACAGCATGGATTCTTTGGGGTGAATCCTAATTGCCAGGACATTCCACGGTTTTGTTTGTTGACTCAGGCTGTGTTGCCAAGAACCGAATGAATGCTGCAGACTCACTTCCAACTTTTTAGCTGTTTATTAACAAAATAAAAGCCACATGTATTAACAAAATATAAGTCACTTGAGATGCCAGGGGGGAACAGGGGAGATGAATGGAGTAATAGAGAGGGGTGACTAAAAGGAACAATCCTGGAAATAGGTGATTTACTTTATATTTTCTAATGTTGTCTCCTGGGGCCTGGGGTTTTCTAAAGGTTTTTGTGAAACCTCACGGTGTTTTAGGTGTGCCCTTCACTCAAATTGAAGGACAGGTGAGCCAAGTGCAATCAGTAGGGAAAGACGTGAAGAGGAAGGGAAGCGCTTAGACATCTAGAAAGAAACATTTGCCCTATCAGGTGTGGCTCAGTGGGTTGGGCATCATCCAATGCATCATCGCCAGTTCAGTTCCTGGTCAGGGCAGGAGCCTGGGCTGCAGGCTCGATCCCCAGCGAGGGGCCTGCAGGAGGCAGGTGGTCGATGTCTCTCACATTGATGTTTCTCCCTCTCTCCTCCCTTCCACTGTCTCTAAAAAGCAGTTTTTAAAAAAATCTTTAGAAAAAATAGAAAGAAATAGTTTTTTTGCACTCAAAGAAAACCACTTTTGGGGGGAGTGGTGGGGTCTCTTGCCTTACCTGACTTTCTGGCCTGACCTTAGCTCCTCGGTGTGCCTCTGGGCCCAGACCCCAGGGCCAGCAGCAGCGCAGCAGGCTGGGGTAGATGTCACGGGTGTCCGCACAGCTCAGACTCGGCTCCTTTGCATAGGACGAGAATGAAGCAGCCACAGCATCACACTGCCCTAAACAACCTGGTCGCTAAGGACACCGCACCTGTCCTTGCCCAGTCTGACAGTGCTGGAGGCATGACCCGGTCCCACCCAGAGGCTGGGTCTCCCGTGAGCGCCCCGAGAAATGCACACTGCCCCTGAGACTGGACGCCACTCTGGGCTTTGGTCTCGACTCCAGCGGTCCATCCTGAGTTCTCTGCTAGGCTTTGTCGTGACCTTGAAGGATAATGACTTTGTCCTCTCTCTGGCTATCGATGGGCCCCGGTGGGCGAGGGGCGCAGTGGCTGTGAGTCTAGCGTCCAGTGGCTGGGAAGCAGCGGTTTCACGTGTCCACAGCTCTCTCCATGGCCAGGCAGGGCTCCATGTATCCCTGAGGCACCAGCCAGGTACGTGAGTGCCCCTGTGAGGGTGGTACAGTGGGCACAGGTCGGGAACCGATGCCCACCCGGGGCGGCGGAAAGAGTTTGTCTCAACCTGTGCAATTCTAGTTGAAGTTCTTGGATGGGCTCTATTTTTTTCCTTAAACCTCACCTGAGGACATTTTTCCATTTTTTTTGTTCAGATAGAGTGGGAAGGAGAGAGAGGAAGAGAGAGAGAGACAAAAACATCGACATGAAAGGGACACATTGAGTGGTTGCCACCCACACGAACTGCAACCGAGGGCCGGGGACAAACTGCAACCGAGGTACGCGCCCTTTGTGGGAACCGAACCCGGGTCTCTCTGGACCACAGGCCGACCCTCTAACCACTGAGCCACACTGGTCAGGGCCTTGGATGGACTCTTTCTCTTCGACGGAGCTTGACTGAAGTTCCGGCTCCAGTGGGGAGCTAAGCAGGTCCTGACGGCTTCACCCAGACTCGGAACCTTCTCCCTGTGGGCTGCTCCCCCTCGCGGCCTGTGGCTGGGACGTGGGAAGGGGATGGGCAGCAGGTCCCACTCGGCTCCCTGCTTCCGCATCTTGCAGCCACTGAGCGGGGGTGATGCGGAGACGGTTTCCTTCTGCAATGACGATTTATAGGGTCCGTGTATTTGTCTTTTCTGTTCTGGCAAAATGGACCTAACATAAAACTGATCCTTCGAAGCAGGCAGATTGGTGGCGTTGAGAACATTCACAGAGCTGTGTGACCGTCACCGCCACCCTTCCGTCTCCATCTGCCCGCCCAGCTCTGCACCCTGTCAGCACCTTCCCTGAGATTGGTGTGCCCCCCCCTTCCCTGCTTCTCCCTCCTCCTTCCCTGCTTCTCCCCCCTCCTCCTTCCCTGCTTCTCCCCCCTCCTCCTTCCCTGATTCTCTCCCCTCCTCCCCCAGCTCCTCTCCCCTCCTCCCCCTGCTCCTCTCCCCTCCTACCCGTGCTTCTATCCCCTCTTCCCCTGCTCCTCTCTCCTCCTCCCCCTGCTCCTCTCTCCTCCTCCCCCTGCTCCTCTCCCTCCTCCCCCAGCTCCTCTCCCCTCCTCCCCCAGCTTCTCTCCCCTCCTCCCCCTGCTCCTCCCTCCTCCTCCCCCAGCTCCTCTCTCCTCCTCCCCCAGCTCCTCTCTCCTCCTCCCCCAGCTCCTCTCCCTCCTCCCCCTGCTTCTCTCCCCTCCTCTCCCTGCTTCTCTCCCTCTCTCTCTCTCTGATTCCCAGGCCCGTGGAAATGTTCTTGAGTTTATGTCTAAAAAGAAAAATGTGTCATCAAAAATGCAGTGGAGCCCTGGCCATTTTTGCTCAGTGGTTAGTGCATTGGCCCACGGACCGGAGAGTCCCGGGTTCGGATCCCACAAGGGCATGTACCTCGGTTGCAGTTTGTCCCCGCCCTGGTTGGGGTCGTGTGGGTGGCAGCCAGTCAATGTGTCTCTCTCACATCGATGTATCTTTCCTTCCCGCTCTATCTGAAGATGAATACAAAAAAAAAAAAAGTCTTTGGGTGAGGATAAAAAAATAATAATAAAATAAAATCAATAAAGAAAAAAAATGCAGTGGAGATGGGACATGCCCAAGCCGGCGACTGGACTCCCGCTCTTCCGTGAACAGTGTGTTGACTGCTCTGGTGACCTTGGCCCGTGTCCCGTCTCTTTGTCACCGACAGTGAGAACAACCTCCAGGAAGATCTCTTCGACCAGATCTTGGCCGGGAAGCTGGAGTTCCCCGCGCCCTACTGGGATAACATCACGGACTCCGCAAAGGTGCGTCCACGCCTGCGCCTGCGGGGTCAGGGCCGAGGGGCTCACCTCACGTGGGTGCTGGTCTGCACCCCAGGGCCGCCTCACCTCCGAACGGTGGTCCTCGAAGTTCACGCCACAGTATGGTCTCTGACACGCTAAACCCAGTTCCGAAAACTGGGCTGGCTCTCTTCCCCGAGTTCCTTTAAGCCCGAAACGTCTCTGTTTATTCGAGAGCGGTGGTAGAGCCCGTCAGGGCACAGGGCGGACTCGGGGCCCTGCGCTGCGCGGTGGGCTGGTGGCCGTGATCAGGACCTGCAGGAGCCCGTCCCGCACGCGCCCGTGGGCACCAGGAGTGCAGGCGGACAGCGTTCCGGGCTGGTGGCGGAGCGGTGGTGTGGGCTGTTCTTTGAGGTACTTGGGGCCAACGCAGATTTCTGCAACTGTGCCCCCTTTGTCCCCTCTGTCATCTTCTGTTTTTCTTTCCAGGAATTAATCAGCCACATGCTTCAGGTAAACGTCGAAGCTCGGTGCACTGCGGGACAAATCCTGAGTCACCCCTGGGTGTCAGTAAGTACGCACCCCCCCGGCGGACCCTGTGCGTCCAGTGGCCAGCACCCCGCCGGCTTCGCCCGGGCCCCCGCGCAGGGGTGTCAGGCTGCCCCGGCTCAGCACAAGGAAGGCAGCTCTGGGAGAAAGCAGGGGGCCCCAGGACCCCCACGTGTTCACTCTGCTCCGCGAGGGACCTGGGCAGGTCGCTGTCCCTTTCTGGGCTTCAGTTTCCTCCACAGCAGGATGAAGGGGTTGGCCGGGAGGCTCTCTAAGCTTTTCAGCCTTTGCTTCTGAGCTCTGGGGTCTGAGGATTTTCAGGATTTGGCCAGAGGCGACCATGTTTCAGAGGCTGAGCCCTCTGTCTTCGCAGCACATGGTCACAGGAGACCTCGCAGACCCTTCCAGAGCCGGGCAGAGCATCGGGGCCCGCGCCCTGTTGACTAGAGTTCCCCTGGGCTTGGGCGGTGCTCTGGGTGGGGGCAAGCGGAGGCTCCGGGACAGGGAGGGTCGTTGCCTCCACCAAGGACTTTGGCTGATTTGGGGGCCCTCGTGCACCCACAGTGACCCACAGGTCTTGACATCTGGGTTCAACTTCTCTGGATCCTGCTAAGAGAATTGGCTCTTGGACCACATAGCTGAGAATTCACATTATCTTATGAACAACAGAGACTAACAATTAACTGAATTGTTGATTAAAATAATAAAGTGTGTATGAATTTTGTTTTTTCCCTGGGAGGCATCTGCACTCAGTTATATGGCATCTGTGCCCCCTCGGGCCCGGAGCAGGTCCCTGAGCCCCCCCCCTGGCCCGCAGCGGGTCCCCAAGCCCCCCCCCCCCAGCCCGCAGCGGGTCCCTGAGCCCCCTCGGGAAAACCTGTGGTTAGATCAGGGAGCTGGGTGAAGGGTGCAGGGGGCCTGGGGCTGCCGGGTTGGGAATTGTTTTGAATGGGTCATTGTTCCCCTAACCTCTGGTTCAGATGAGCCCGTTAGGAAGAGATGGCGGCGGCGGGTGGTTTGTGCCTGTTAAGGAACAGACAAGTCAGCCAGAAAACCCGAACCACTGTATCTGGCTCTTCCCTGTAGGACGATGCCTCCCAGGAGAATAATATGCAAGCTGAAGTGACAGGTAAACTCAAGCAGCACTTTAACAATGCGCTCCCCAAGCAGAACAGCACCACCACCGGGGTCTCCGTGATCATGGTAAGTGGGACGCGCCCCGGCCTTTGGGAGGCCGCTGTGTCTGGCCTGACCGCTCAGCCAGCCTCGACGCTTTCCCAGTAAACAGCCAACAGCTCCCCTCACATGGCGGCTGGCGCCTCTCTCTACTCGGAGCTCACTTGGCACGGGGAGAGCACCCGCCTGGCTGGCACCCAGGCTGGAGTCCTGGGGCGGGAGCTGTGCAGAGAGCGGGGGCCCGGCCAGGGGCCCAGGAGCCAGCAGCCCCCGCCTCTCCCGGGCTGGAGCCTCCGGCTGCTGCGGCCCCGCCTGCTCCCCGCCAGGGTGCCCAAGCCCGCTGGGGTTCACAGCAGGAGGAAGGCACTCCCCGCCCACTCGAGTAGATTATTTGAGGTGCAGTTGGACTTGGGATAAGAAACAGCCACAGTGAAACAAATGCCATTTAAAAAATCAGTACATTCAGACCTTTGAAAGTACAGAACAATGGGAAAGAACTGAATTTTCAGGGTTGGGGGAATGCTCGCAGTCGGTCACAGGATGGCCGTATCTGTCAGCCCTTCCGTCCTCTGAGATGTTGAGGGCGGCCAGCCCAGGTCCACAGACACAGCGAGGTGAGTGGGGAGGCCGGGCAGCCAGGGAAGTGGGGCGAACGAAGGAGGCAGCCCGAGCGGTCAGCGCCCCACGGGCTGTGCAGTCCCCGCCCCGAGCGTCTCCTCGCTGCCTCGGCGCCCGCGTGCACAGGGCCAGCGCCGGGGCTGGGACCTCCGTTCTGCCCACACCCTCCCAGGCTCGGGGTGTCTCCACAGGCAGACTGTCCAGGAAACGGTGCCTAAGTTGTTAGCATCTTGGCCACACCTGACAACATGGGGTGTCGGCGGCCCCTAGGTCCCCAGGCCGTCCCCACAGCTGCACCTTCTCACCGCCCGGCCGGCCTCTTGCCTTCTGGAGGTTTGATCAGTTTCCTGACCAACTAGAGGGAAAACAGTTGCTTGTTCTCGTGTCCACCGCCTTCGTGGCCGCCGCTGGCCTGTCACTCCTCGGTCCCCGGGGCGGCTCCTGCATTTGGCAGCTCTCGGAGCCCCTGCACCTCCCTCTCCCTCCCCTCTGCGCCCCCCCAGACAGAGCCTGCAAACAGGATCTTTTGACACGTTTCAGGACTTGGGGTGCTCTGTGCCAAAATAGGGGCCGCCTCTCAAGCTGCGTGCTTCCTGGCGTTCCGGCGGTGTGCTGCTGCCAGCCCCGGAGCGGAGTTGGCAGAGTTACAGCTGAGACGCGGCAAAGGCTACCCCCCCCCCCCAAACTCTAGCGGAAAGTTTGTTTACCAGGCTGCAGGGTAGGAGCGGTGAGCCAGGAAAGAACAGCCGAAGGGCCCTTGGAGCTTAGGGGACAGAGACAAAGAAAATACACCTGGGGGAAGGGGATGGGGAGAGGTGGGGACGGAGGCAGACAGAGAGGGACAGAGAGAACAAAGAGGGAGAGGGAGGGACAGAGATAGGGAGAGGGAGGGACAGAGATAGGGAGAGGGAGGGACAGAGTTGGGGGACAGAGAGACAGAGGGGGGACACACAGAATGGCCGAAGAGCTGTCCTGGTTGAGCCACAGCGTGAGTGTTCTCATGAACACTTCATTTGGGGCAGGATAAGGAGCCTGTGGCCTTACCACATGCCCCAATGTTAGGCAGCTTCTGGGACATTTTAGAAAAACATGATGAATTGGCACACTTGACATGTAATGAAAAGCTTTAAGAAGAATGACTTGATAGAATCAAAATCGAATCGCTGTGTGTTGAGTAAGTGCACGGTCTAGAGAAGGACCTGGATAGGACCTGGCCGGGGCTCATGGTCTCACCCTCACCGCCTGGGACACCTGTCGACTCAGGGCCCACAGGGGCTTGCTGGCCGAAGATGGCCTGTGGCCTGCTGAGGTTCTGGAATGTTCCAGCCCTCTGCCTCACGGTCCAGTACAGGTTCTGTTCTGGGTACTGATGTCAGACACCCTCAGACAAAACCTGCGTCTCATGGCTGACAGATGGCATTTTCCATTTGTCGATGGAGTTCCAGAGTCAGATGTCTCCATGAGCGGGCAGCCTGCTGCTTGTGCTTCCGATGGCGACTGTGGCCGCTGTGTGTTTTCCTGTCGGCCATGCGGCAGGGCTCCGTCCAGCCCCTCGCTCCCCACACACCTCTGCGGGGCAGGTGCTGTGACTGCACCCGTGTGGTCCCCCTGGGAGGTCTGCAGGCTTGCTGCTCTGGAGGGACCCACTCTCCCCGGCCAGAAAGCTGTGAATTTCGGCGTGTGCCCAAAAGCAGGGCGGGGAGGCCTCTGCGGGACGTGCTAATCCCCCCGTGAGGATGTGACCCAGGGCACAGTTGTGTGGGGGCAGCTTGCAATGCTTCCGTGTTGTTATCCTCGCCCTGTCCGCATGGCTGTGCGTCTGTGTCCTGCCCTGGGGAACAGTTTGACCTGCATTCTGTATCTACAATAATCAATCACAAAGGACTGTCCCCGGTATTTGGACGTTCTCACACCTGGAGTATGTGAGGTCAGTGTGGGTTCCCACAGATGCCGTAGCAGAGGGAGTACGTGCAGAGGTTTGAGGGGGCCTCAGATACCTGCCGAACGACTGCAGACGCACCCGACGGCCCACTGTCCCCCGACTCTCTCTGCACCGTGGCCCCCGTCAGTGCCGGGGGCCCAGGGAGAAAAGGCCAGGGTAGGAGAGGTCAGCGACGGTGCGAGAAAGTAAGGTTGATGCTGTTGTCTGCGTGTCATTTGACAGTTTGAGAGACACTCTGAGTTTCCGTCTTGGCCCACTTGGGGGGGGGGGCTCCTGAAGCAGAGATGTGTCCTCACCGCCCTGTGCCCGAGAGAGCCTCCCCCACCCGCCTCCCCCGCCCCGCCCCGCCCGCACGCCGCTCAGACCTCTGGGCCCTCGGGGTGCGGTCCCCTGTGCCCACTGACCCTCCCAGCCGCCAGCGCACCCTCGCACGCTCAGCTTGCGCCCTGCCTGCCTTCGCAGCTGAAGCGCTGGCCAGGGCGCGAGGGCCCCAGGAGTCCTCCCGGGAAATGCTCGTTGTCCCTTCGGTGGAAAAGCATCTTTTCGTGAGTGACAGCGTGAGAGGGCACCTCTGTGAGGGCCCTTGCTGCTCCCTCCAGCTGCAGCGTCAGCCAGCCTCCGGGGGGAGGGGAGACTTAAGACTGGACAAGACTGGGGTTCAGACAGGCCTACAGAGGACAGGACAGGGCCTTTGCCCGCCGGCCTTCTGTCTGTCCCGCGGGCTCCTCCCAGCCGTGGACTGGAGGGTGTCACCTTGTGGCAGAGGAGGGAACGATAAGACCCTGGCTCACGGGGAACCTTGATCCGAGGAGCCAGCAAACCCCCCGAAGACTTTCTGCCCAGGGGGACCGTGCTCCTTTCGGGGGTGATCTGGGAATGATTTGGGTTAATGTAAGACAGACAAAACTGTTTCAACCGTGTTGCTTCTGTTTGAAGTAAGTCTAGTTTCTGTCCCTGCTTCTCTCCCCTCTCCTGCGTCTCCCGCCGCTGCACTTGCCCCTGACTAGGTCCCAGGCAATGGTATGTACTCGCTGCACGGCCTCGCTCTGCACACGCGTCCCCGGGAATGGAGGAGGAGAAGGAACCGGAGCGGGCGGCGGTCCTCCCCCGGAGCGCGTCTGGTGGAGAAAACCGAACCCGCTCCGAGCCCAGTGTTCCCACGGGGCGGCTGGGCCCCTGCGGCGCCCTGGGCTGCAGGAGCCACCTGCTTCCACCGGCTTCTCCAGCTGCTCTGCCCAGGTCGCTGCCGTCGCCTCGGGAGTCCCGGGAGGTTCCGGCTGAGCCTGGACGGGCTGGTGGAGGGTCCCCACTGGACCTCGGACCAGGGGCCCTGCAGGCAGCCACCGGCTGTCTCAGAAAGCCCTGTTGCTTATTCCGATTTTCTTGAGACTTGTTTTCTCAGTCAGAGCCCTGAAGGATCAGTGGTGCATTTTTTCCCGGGGTGGTTAGTGGGTACCTTTCCCTCAGGGTGGGTGGTTGGTGGGTACCTTCCCCCGGGGTGGGTGGTTGGTGGTTACCTTCCCCCGGGGTGGGTGGTTGGTGGGTACCTTCCCCCCGGGGTGGGTGGTTGGTGGGTACCTTCCCCCCGGGGTGGGCAGTGGGTACCTTTCCCCCGGGGTGGGCAGTGGGTACCTTTCCCCCGGGGTGGGTAGTGGGTACCTTCCCCCCCCGTTGGGTGGTTGGTGGGTACCTCCCCCCTTGGGGTGGGTGGGTGGTGGTTACCTCCCCCCCCCTGCATTGGGTGGTTGGTGGGTACCTTCCCCCCCTGGGGTGGGTGTTGGTGGGTACCTTCGCCCCCCGTTGGGTGGTTGGTGGGGTTGGTGGGTACCTTTCCCCCCCCATTGGGTGGTTGGTGGTTACCTTCCCCCCACCTTGGGTGGTTGGTGGTTACCTCCCCCCCGTTGGGTGGTTGGTGGGGTTGGTGGGTACCTTCCCCCCTGGGGTGGGTGGGTGGTGGGTACCTCCCCCCCCCAGGTTGGGTGGTTGGTGGTTACCTTCCCCCCCCCCCGTTGGGTGGTTGGTGGGGTTGGTGGGTACCTTCCCCCCCCGTGGGTGGTTGGTGGGTACCTCCCCCCCATGGGGTGGTGGGTACCTTCCTCCCGGGGTAGGTCGGTTACAAAGTCCTTCAATGGCTGCGCCTTTTGGCTAACGTGGGTGAGAGCCGCTGGGCCTCACTGCACAAACGAGAAATGCTCCAAATGAGCAAGGAGGAGACGTGTCCGCTCCTAGTCTGGGGTCAGAGAGCAGGGCGATCTCTTTACGCCTGTGGCTGTTTCGGGGCTCCCTGAGGAGTTGAGCTAACAACTTTGGGGGTGCGGTGAGGTGAAGAACAGCGGGTGAGGGATCCTGGGGGTCTGAAACAGGAGACACGGCAGCTTCGGGTCCCTGGGCGTGTGGTGCATCCTGCAGCCTCGGGGGTCGTAGGGGACTGCTTACTGATGGCGGGGAGCAACTTTCCATCCGTGATGGAGCTTTGTTTGGGAAAGCTCAGCCTGAGGTCCTGGCGTTCTCCCGGGCTTTGTTACTTAGCCAGGGTTCCTTGGGGCCAAGGTCTGGGCCAGGGAAGGGGACTGGAGCTCAGGTGCAGCTTAGGGCTGTCCCGCAGGCCGCCCACCCGCCATCCAGGGCCACACCCATAGCCCGAGCCCAGCCGGGCGAGCCCTTTGCACTGAGGCTCTGCTGGGAGGGCCCAGGTTGCTTCTCCTCCTCTGTTCCGAGCCCGTGCATGCTGCTCCTGCGCGCTGCCGGCCGTGGGCCCCGGCTAACCAGTGTCGCTGCTCTCTCCTAGAACACGGCTCTAGATAAGGAGGGACAGGTGTTCCGCAGCAAACACGGTCAGGACAGCGGCCGGCCCGGGACGGAGCCCACCTCGCCAGTTCCCCCCCCTGCCCAGGAGCCCGCTGTGCCCAAGGCGGCCGTCCAGGCCCCTGCCGCTCCGGAGTCTCCCACCACCCCCTGCCCTCCTGCTGCCCCGGGCTGCCAGCGGGCAGGGACCTGGCGCCGCCACCGAGACTGATGCAGCCTGAGCCCGCGACTGCTGGCCTCGGCTGTGCCCCGCGGCCCCGCCCTCCCTGCCTCCGTGCCACAGGCGGCCTCAGCGTTGGTGACACACTGAGCACTGGTTTTAAATCATCTGAGTTTCAGCTCAATGGACTTTATACAACGTCACCAGGAGAATGTGCAACTTTTTTCCAGCATTTAATGCATTTTTATAGACACTTCAGATGAGCCCAGACCTCCCCCTGTTGAAGTAGACTCGAGTGCTCCTTTTCTTACGAAGAATTCAGAACCGCACTTGTCCCTGTGGGTGTCCCGTGGGAGGAGGTGGCACCTTCCCTGCCGCCGGGCCAGAGGAAGCGGGACCTGCGAGGACAGTCTGGTCGTGGACACCAGCCCCACCGGCCTTCCAGAGCTCAGGCGCACCGCAGCGTGGGTGCTGGCTCGGCCGGACAACACTGGATATTTATTTGTACACAGGCCATGGGGGAGGGGCTCTTTCTCCCCTGGACAGTGTGTCTTCCCCCAACTCTTCCCACACCTGAATTAAAGACGCTAATGATGTTGTCCTTGGGGCTTTTTAATGACAGGCCTGGTGCAGGCGGCACCAGCCCAGAAGGCCCGGCCGCGTGGTCACCTGCTCTGTCGCCTGCTCGGTCACCGGAGAGAGAGCCGCGGGGAGCGGCCGGGCGGCGGGCTGGGCGGGTGGTGCCCACAGGCCCCTCACTGACCTCTGGAAGGCTGCTGGCAGTTTTCCATGCTCCCACCACCTGCCCTTTTTAATAATTGTACATAATCAGTGTTTTACCTGCTCATCTCTGACCTGGTGGGCCCTGTAGTTCCTGCGCATTGTTAGTTTCCCCTACAAGTGTACCCGACTTGCAATAAACTCTTCCTTACTGAGAAAGAATCGGGCGGGCAGAGGTTTCTGTGTGGTTGTGCGAAGGACGATGACCAAAAGCCAGGTGTCAGCAGGCGCCGTGCCTGTCCCTGGAGCCCAGGGCCCGAGGCAGACGGGCACAGATGCCTGGGGAGCTCTGTCTGGCTCGGAGTTGATTTGCTTACAGGTGTGGAAACTCACGCAGGAAAGCTCAGGAATAAACAGGTCGCGGCAGACACCAGAGGGGACCCCACGGAGCTGCCGGCAGGAAGGTGAGGCTTCACAGGGCATGAGGGGTCAGGGCAGGTCTTCCCTTGTCTGTGTGTGTCCGTCTCCCGGCTCAGCTTTCGGCTCGTTTTCTGTTCCTTGTATCGTCTGCTGGCCTGTGGCTCTGGCCAGCGGCAGGCACCTGTCCGCAGCAGCCCTCTGCATGGGCTCTGATCCCACGTGCACATCGCCCCGTGAACGAGATGACCGCGATGGCGTGCCCCTGGCTGGCTGCGCGGTGCCCCTGGCTGGCTGCGCGGTGCGGCTGGGCCCCTGGCCCGCAGCTGCCGCGGGCAGGGCGTCGGGGGCGGGGCGTCGGGAGGCGGGGCTTGCGGACAGCCGTGATGGGCAGCTCCAGACCACGCCTCCTTACTGGCAGGCTGAAGAGCAAAACTTCTCCTAGCTCCCAATGGCAGTATTTTTGTTAATGGAATGGAGGATGTAATGTCAAGGGAGGCGAGAGAAATGAAGACTGTGATGGAACAAGGTCTCTGGCACTGACCAGGACCTGACCCTGTCCCTCCAACTGTGAGGGTCAGAGACTTTTGCTAGACACTGAAACAAGTGGCCAGGGCAGTGCCAGCCACTGGTGACAGGATGGAGGAGCACCACCTCTGCGGCACAGGCTCCCAGGCTCCGTGCCACCGCCGAGGGCCAGGGCCGTGTGGGGCTGGGGCCGGAGGAGGCAGCACGGGCCAGGTGTGGCGGGGCCTGGCTGTGGCCGGCAGGTCTTACGGAATTACCTTTATTCCACCAACACCCAGAACTGTGCGGTGCGACCAGCGCGGCCCAGGATTAGGTGACGTGAGCCAGCGGGGAATGGGCGGAGGCAGGGCCCGCGTTCGAGGTCCGCCCAGTGCCGAAGCCTGCCCTGTGCGCAGGCCCGTCATCCCGACGCCAGTCGGCCTGGCTCTGGCCGTCTGAACACCGACCCGGAAGGGAGGTCTGCACCCCGAGCACAAGGCCTTGCGCCCACGCATCCCGCCGGCCGACCGAGCCCCTGCGGTCTCAGGACCAGAGCGAGCTGATGCCTGGCGGCTGGCGCCCAGCTCCCGCACGTGGGCGGCGCCTGCTGTCCGTGCGTCCCCCACTCGGGCAGGGGCCAGCCGGAGGAAGCGGGCCTCGGGATGGGGCAGGGAAGGGGGCGGTGGCCGGGTGTGAGCGTGTCTCCTTCTCCGTGACCGTGGCTGAGAGATGGAAATGGATGGAATCTATGTCAAAAGCATTTGACAAGCCCTGGTCGGTTTGGCTCAGCGGTTAGAGTGTCGGCCTGCGGTCCCGAGAGACCCGGGTTCGGTTCCCGCTAAGGGCACCTACCTCCGTTGCAGTTTGTCCCCAGCCCCGGTTGGGGTTGTGTCCACTCGATGTGTCCCTTTCACGTCGATGTTTCTCTCTCCCTCCCTCCCACTCTATCTAAACAAAAAATGGAAAAATGTCCTGGGGGGGAGGATTAAAAAAATAAAAGCATTTGACAAACTTTTCCCAGAGTATTTCGTGGATAAGACTGTGCCGTGAGAAGCAGGATACTGAAGAGGTTCAGAGCAGAGTAACCACATTGAGAGAAAGACCGCTGACAGGTGGTGATGCCTCAGAGAAGGGTCCAGAGCGGGTTGCCCTCCATGGAAATATAACAATAGCCTCATAATTGAACATTTTCTGGTGCCAGATTTAAAAAATGTAGAGGAACAGGTGACAGTAATGGTGTATTTTATTTTATACCATCTATCTAAATATATCCAAAGTAGAAGAATTTCAACATGTAATCAATATAAAAAAGCACTGGGCGCTGGCCGGTTGCTCGTGGTTAGAGCAGAGCGTAGGCCCAGGGACCACCGAGTCCGGGTCTGACTCCGGCCAAGGGCACGTACCTCCCTGCAGTCCGGTCCGCGGCCCTGGGCGGGGTCCTGCGGGAGGCAGTCCGTCCGTGTGTCTCGCTCACACCAACATGTCTCTCTCTCCCTTCCTCACACTCAATCTGAAGATAAATAGAAAATATCTTCGGGTGAGGATTTAAGGGAACAAACATCATCGGCATAGGTGACATTTTGGGGGCCACGCCTTTGGGACCGGGTGTGGACCGACACTCGGGCGCACCCAGGCCGCAGCGGGCAGTGCGCCGAGAGGCCGCGGCCGCGGCTTGGTTCTTCCTCGGTCTTCGGCATCCGACGTAGTGCAGAAAGCCCCTCTCCGTGGTCTCACACGGGTGAGCCTTTCAAATGCCCGCAGCAGCTGAGCGCACTGGTGCACCTGTGACACCCAAGGGCTAAGTCCTGCGACGCCCGCAGAACTGCGGGGGCCCCAGGTACGCAGCCTGCGGACGGGGACCGGAGCCTCTCAGGGGTCGCTGTTCCACGAGGAGCCAACAGAGCTGCTCAGACGTTCGCACCGTCTTAAACCCTGCGGAGTGCCTGCGGATCGCCCTCCCGGTGCGGTGCAGGGAGCACAGCCCGAGGGGGGAGGGCTCGGAGCTCGGGCAGCGAGGGCGGTGTCGGGAAAACTAGGTGCCTGCCAGGCGCCTTTGGCTGAGATGCCTGTTCTGCAGCAGGGGTGCCGACTCAGCTGCCCTGGATGATGCCCAAGCTCAGGCGGCAGAGTCATGAAGGGTCAGGTGTGAGGGCAGTTGGAGTAAGATTCTAATCCAGGGCAGACCAGGGACAGAAGTGGCGGCTTTTGAAAGGAGTGACCATCTAGTGCCTAGATGCCCAGTAAGGAAGTCGCCCCTGAGTGACTCATCCTGCCACACCGCAGCCCTGAGAGAGACCGACGCGGATATCCCTGTTCATTAAATCAGAAACTCGGAAGGGCCCGGGGCTCACCCAGACTTGCTGGGGCTGGGACAGGCTCCCAGGGCAGCTGTCCTTATACCAGGACTGCCCCCTAGGTGTCACGGGTGCTTTGGAGGGGCTGTTTGTGTCACAGGTGGCGCTGGGAGGGGGGCGGCATACCGGGCAAAGTGGTAGAACACAGAGGAGGCTGAGAGGCCATCAGAGCAGGGGCGGTGAGGTGTGTCGCAGAGGGAGAGTGGGGTCTCCGTAGGGAGGCTGATGTGGACGGCTCTGGAGGGTCTTGCCCAGGGCACCGGAAAGGGCTGGTGATCAGACCTGCAGCCCGAACTCCAAGGTGGCTAGCCGTGGGGAGAACTGCCACTCCAGAATGGCCGAGGGAAGAAAGGGTATGTACAATAACAATAGCCGTTTGCAGCTGACATGCCCCTTCCAGACATCAGCCCTTCCAGACATCAGCCCTTCCATTTGGGGCAGAGCCGAGCACCACAGGCCTCCGTGGCGTGGTCAGGATGGCTTCAAGCCGGCGGACGAGCTGGGCGCGCCAGGAGGACTGGCACCTGCACGGAGGCTGGAGTTGGTCTGCAAAGTGTCTTTCAACCTACCCAAGTGCAAAGCTGCAAGACAGCCAGCTGCTTCCTGCCAGGTCTGAGGAAATAACAAGCCTTCCCAGCTGCCCCCAAATCTTGGTTTGGCAAAGAAAAGTGTTCCTGAACTTGAGAGAGAAAACGAATTCGTGCTTCTGGGTACGGCTGTGGAGGTCTGAGCTCAGACGTCCGTAGATGGCCTTCTCCCCTTGCTGCAGGGCCCGCTGTCCGGGAAGACAGCTCGAGACCAGACCACCCTCGGACTCATTACAGAGAAAAATGGGATGTCCCTGGGCGTGAGCAGTCCGCACGCCTGGGTCACAGAGCCAGGGCTGGCGGCGATGTGTCACTGTCGCTAACAGTGGCTTTGAGCTTTTTAAATAGTGACCTTAGGACTTTGGGGGACCCAAGAAATGCATCATGGACTACACTTTTCCCATCTATCTAAGAAAATCCAAAACATGTTTCTCTTACCCATCTGAGAGGGAACAGTTTTTTTATTTTGCTATTTTATCGGCTTGCCATGGCCGGTCTTTTCCTTCCTTTCACAGGTAGGACAGTGTGGCACTTCCAGCTTCCCCTGCAGGATAAGTCTGACGCCTGCGGGGTGGACATCACTCCACTTTCCGGGGACGAAGTGAGTGGGGAGGCTGGTCGCGCTCATGCTCGTGCGCGTGAGTTACGGATTTGTCGTGTCCGCCTCCTGGGTGCGAGCGTGCTCTGTCCCAGGCGAAGTCTC